GACGACACGCTTACTCGGCGACGGCGACACGCCCTCGTGCCAGCGCCGAAGAATAATCGGAACAGTGGACAATGCGGCGGAAAGAAAAGAGATGCGCGCGGTCTCGCGTGAACGTGCGAAAATTTTTCCAAAAATCCTCCCGCGCGAAAATCCAAATCCGACTCGCGCGTTCGAGAAATCGCTCTTACGAAAAGATAGAGATACTCCTCTCACATAGATGCGATCGCTTATCGCATATGGAATTCCTATTTTATATTTTGTATTATGATTCAAGTCGGTTGTTTCGCCAAGTTTTTAAAGATTCGATGCTTAAAGCAAAGGATTTAGATCGGTGCGGTATAAATAATAATAGATTATGCAATCTTTCAATTTGTTTCCTGCTTGTATTCAATATTGAATACAAGCAATTTGTGCGATCTGTTATTGTTGTAATAAATATCTTACGAACTGTCGAGAAATAAACAAATAATTATTCACAAATAATTTATTAAAATCTATTTAAGTTGCAGTTTTTCTTATAACGGAAGTATAATGTTTTAAATGATCAATCTTTTGCTTTATTGCAGAATTTCTTGTATTTTTTTAAATTTAAGTCAATAATGCTTTTTTTTTAACATCTAGCAACTGTTCTGAATATTAGAAATTTTTAAAAGGGTATATCTAGAAAAGTTAATGACTGACGTGTTTTAGCGAACCTACTATCGATAATATTGCAAATAGGGCATTGCGGTAATCAGATCGCGTGACGCTATTGAAAAAATTATTCATGATGATGTCTATCGATGGAAATACGTTTTTATGTCTACTCGCGAAGTAAGCCTAGAAACTTAACTACTTTCGTGTGTGCGAAACTGGTATTCACAAAATTACATAAGACCATCCAAAATATTTGCACTTTATTAAAAAAAAAGGTCTTAAGATTTTTATTTTCATTCATTTAGAATTTTCTTTAAATCCAATTTTTTTAGCTTTTCTTACTGCGAAAAAAATCAACAATAAATCGATCAAAATTATTGTTGATTGTTCGTAAAAAGAAAGAATATGGGAAATTATGGGAATAATTTAAAAGTAGCGTTTTAGCTTGTTTGCCGTTATTATTTCGCAAAGAGTAAACTGCGTGCGGAGCTTTGTAGCTTTTGTTGTCCTGTGTACGACTCATTAGGGTTTCCACGTGCTTTCGCTCGTGGAGAGGTGACCCCTCTCGATCAGGTAGAACGCCGTTCAAGAGTCTCGAGGGTCGGAAGATGCGGTGCAGCAGAATTAGCGGTGCCAATATATCAGGCGAGGACGTACATATATATCTTCAGGTCGGTCGATATATTCGCCAGGGGTGAGCGGCCTGCTCTATCACCGAACGAACTCGGCGCGTTATTCGAGTCGCTTTAACGTAGAACTCGAAACCTTTTAATTAAATTTTCAAGACTGTGGATAACGATTCTCGGAATAGGACGCGAGCGCACTACCTGGACCAATTAGCGGCTGTAGTCGGCGTGCATGCGAAACGCTCTCAACCGCGGCGACAATCTGACGCTTAGCCGGCTTAGATGATGTCCTAGATGGAACTTCGCGAGAACCCAGATCCACGTGAATTACACACCTCCGAGTTGTGTGCTCACGTAATTGAATTATGCAAATTAATGAAATACATACACGCGCGAACGCGATCAGCCGCGCGTGCCGCCGACTGATATCCGCTTTCGGTCGATCCTCAGGGGGTGGTTTGGCTGGATTGGAGGTCAAACCGTTTCCACAATTATATCGACAGTTTCAGTTTCGTCCTGATCATCGTGTGTTTATCGAAGATAATTAATTAGGTGACAAATATACAACGCGACGCGCGATACACGTGCATTTCCGTACGGAAAACGTGACAGGAACGGAATTTTCAATCATGTATGGTTTCTTTTTAACCAGATCTTCAACAACGCGGCCCGATTTGATCTTGTTTAACGTCCAGGTGAAAGGTGAATCGTCTAGGACAATAGTTTATAAGTTGTTTTCGCGTGTTACGACATTTTGATGGGGCTAAACGATAATGGAATGACGTAGAAAGTCAATATTTCACTTACAGTTTATTATAGTTGAATGCGATAATGGATGATGTACGGGTCACGAGAAATTATTTGCCAGCAAAATAAATCCATTTTTAAATATCTCATTAACCCCGTTTATAAATGTCTCTTAAATATCTTTATGTATTATTATTTAAAAGACCTAAATTAAGTATTGGTAGTATGAAATATATTTTTAATATAAATAGAAAATAAGATATAATAAAATATAATTTCCAAATGTGATATTTAAATTCTTTTCAATAAATAGAAAATAAAATAAGGAAAAACTTTCAATACATAGGA